GGTCAGTTTTGCAGATATTCTGTTTTTGCCCTGAAATTTGTTGTTCTTCAGTGGTAGAAGCCCAAACGATTGTTAAGTGCTATATTACAATAAGTGATGGAAGAAGTCTCTTGGTGTATACATCTATTCGAGTATTCTGGTTTCTGATACACTGCATAGTGAAACTTTTTGAAGCCCATTGTTTTTAGCCAACGTATAGAAGCAGCTGCCTTTGTTTGTATCTTGTTTTTCCATGGCGAAGGCATCCTTGTGGTTTTTCACGGTCTGTCGTGAAAGTTTTAGTCTGTGATCGATCAGAATAAACGTGATGAAAAATGAAGAAGTGAAAGAAACAATAAATGAAGGATCGTCTATAATAGGTGTCAAGGGAATGGGCATGGGAAAATGGTGTCATATCAAGGATTCGAGGGATGATCGAACTTGATAAGTGACGCAGATTTGACCTAATGAAATGCATTTGAGATTGTAGGCCTTCATGCACACTGATGTCTTAATTATCAAACCTAAAAATTTATGACTCTCGTAGCAAACGTATGTAATCCTCACTGTCAGGAATTCCGGTTTTATGCCATTTGTCTGGTCTCTTTTGTATATTCTTATATCGTTTGTGTACGTTTTCATATGCTGTAACACCTACTAATCAGTACGAACCCATCTGTGCGTTTCTTGCTAAAATTACTGAGCAAAAGTCGATTTTAGGTCGAGTTGGAAGCGTACAAGGGCCTCAGCAACAGTCTCTATGCAGATTGCAAGAAGGCGTTACCCGGCGATTGTAAAGATATTGACGCAAAACAAAAGGATGTTTCTGAGCGCTTGAAAAAAATGGAGGAACTGGCCGCTGTTCCACTGAATAATCTGGATTGCGCTGCCTACTTTTACCAGTACTTGCGCGAAAGCCAGGATTTGGAGCAGTGGATCAACGAGCAATTGTCTATCGCATCCAGCGAAGACTACGGCAAAGATTATGAACACCTAATAGTAACGTTACACAGATGTGGCATTTTCATCGCTCAGTCATGCAAATGCATTGCTTTTTCTTCAGGACCTGGTGGCAAAATTCGACGATTTTAAGCACCGCGTGAAGACTGGCTCAGAACGGTTTATCTCGTGCGAAAAATTTTCAGAGAATCTGCTGAAGCGTCGGCCTCCGTTCGCCAACGACATCATCGTTAGACAGGAGCAGATCCGTCAAGCATGGGCGTTGTTGCTAGACTACATCGAGAGTCGTGACCAAAAACTGGAAGCCGCTGAAGAAATTCACCGCTTTAATCGCGACGTTGCCGAGGCTCTATTCAGAATCATCGTAGGTCGCTTTACACTCACGTCACTTTGCTCTTAAAGCATTTGATGTTCAGGAGAAACTTGAAAGCATCCCCACGGACACCGGCAAAGATATTGTCACTGTACAGAGTCTGTTGCGAAAGCATGAAGCGTTCGAAAACGAGTTGGTTGCGCTGGAAGCCCAGGTAAGTTTTTAAATACCTAAGTCTATAACGCACAAATTAGCATAATTAAATTAAATGCAGCAAATTCAAGTGAAAATCCATTGACAACTGTGTAATGGTTTAAAAAAAAGATTTCGAATCTGTTGTGCATGAATATGGTTAAACATGAGAAAAAATCTATTTGGTAATGACATAGAATAATAATTTATTATTGATAAAGCCTGCAAATTTTTAATCACATTTGATCCGTGTTCAAGGAGTAAAGTAATACAAAACAAGCTAGATGTTGCAGCATAAAAACCCGCAGCATGAATTAACAAATCGCTAACCGTTACGAATCACAGTTGATTCATGGTTAAGGGTCACAGTATATACGCACATGTTTGTCATCAAGTAGTACAGATGTTTTTACAGGTACTGCTGCTTAGTGAAAATGTTGTTCTCATGCCATCTGAGGACGAACGAAGTTGTTCTAAAATGCAGGAAGTTTTCTTGGCTGTGTAAGTTCTAGAGGTAAACCCATTGCGAATTCTTCTGAATTGAGAAATGTGCCTTGTTTACAATTATAGTACATTAATTTGCCTTACGTAATTTTGTCACATCCTGTGAATTCTAAAATAACTTTGGTAAACTTTGGCATTTAAGAAATTATCTGAATGCAGTTTGAACCTCACGGTCGTTTTAGTTGCAAGTGTTGCTCGATGATAGCGTTCGACTGCAAAAGACATACCCTGGTGGAAATGCGGAGCACATGCTCGCACAGCAACAGCTACTGTTAGAAAAATGGAACCAGTTGCAGGACAAGGTGTTCAAACGACGTGATCGGCTAGACGAGGCGTACAAATTACAGCGGTTCTTGTCTAAGGTACATACGTTACCTAATTTTTTAATCTTTCCCACACATCAGTTGATCATTGGTTATTTAGAGCAGAGATGCTATTTTATGGGCGCAAGAGCTGATGAATGTGATGCAGACGGAAAACCCTGTCAGAGATTTGCAGGCTGCGGAACTTCTCGAGGCCGAACATCGCCAACTGCAGTCAGAAATCGAAGCCAGGATTGAAGATTTCAAGCAGCTTGATGCCGACGGAAAGGAGATGATCAAAGCTAGTCATTTTGCGCAAAACGAGGCAAGTTATTTAGTTCCTTGCATTCTTATGCAATCACTGTTTTCCGCAGCATGTCTTCGTTAACAAGTGTGAGGTTAAGTTTTTATACAATAATTTATCCTCCGACGAACCACTGTTGCAAGAAGGCATTGCAACTGGAGTGCATCCTGCCTATCGAATAAAGTTCCTTTTCTCTGAACAGATTCCGTAATGGATATCGTATTTGAGCTAAGATAATTATATTATTAATATCAATTGCCTGTTCACAGTGTAAATGACCCGATTTGTGTGCGATCATCATTCGTTGCAAACATCTTCCAGACGTATGAGTAGCCTTGAGAAAGACAGTTCAGTTCCTTACATTTCTCCACAAGAGGTTTTTAACCAAAACATAGGGAGACGACGGACTGACAGCGGAGCGTGGACACCTTAATTATCCTGATTGAGAAGTGTTGTTGCTGAACTTTCGCCTATCCTTTGTGTCTACCTCTTTTTCCGTTCAGTCATTCTCTCAGTCAGGTTCGGTTCTGACAAAACACCAGCAGCGGCCTGAACACGCGTCATTAAATACTCCTGAGCAAGATTACTTCCACCGACAGAGGTATAAAATTCCAGAGAGTTAAGATTTTCCATGTTATTTCCTTACCGCCTTGCATGTAAACCAGCTCCTGCTTTTTCCGTGTTTCACTTTGCCACTGTAATCTCTCACTGTAGGTATCTTCCAGTGAAAACTTACCTGAAATGTCAAATTGACAACGCGCAGTCTGCCTCATCTGTTCGGAACGGGTAGCGACTGTGTTGCTTACTGATATCTTCATCATCTTCTCGTACATCTTAAGCAGCCGTTGTTGTGCTGCTTCCATGAAGGGCAGTTGACTAAGATTTACGGCAAACTTCGCCACCGTCACCAACCCTCATCCTTTCTGATCCAGCTCTGTACTTGTAACCGACAGTAATAAATGTATATGTCATTCCGTGAAATAAAAAATAAAAAAAATTGTTAATGATGGTATATGTAATATTTAAAAATGAGTAACAGCTCTAGGTACTGCATTTTTGTCATATGCCCCTTATGATATTCGGCCGTTTAAATTTGGATGCAAGAGGCAACACACCATAATAGAAGTGCAGCTGATTGTGCGATGAATTCTTGATGAAAGAGAACCTCTCATCGTGTAAACGGTGTTGCTGTTATGACACTGCCTTTGCATGGATAAAAATGGTTTGTCGCTATTTAACTTTTTTTGTTTGAGTGGATCGCTAAGCTAGTACTAGGTACTGGTTAAGATGCTCCCCTCTCTGTTTTAAGCAGTG